TCTTGAGATCTGTGTAGAGCTTGGAATAAAAATTGTGCATCCGAATGCAAACAGCTCTAACTCAGGATTTGCTCTTTAATTCTTCCTAGGAAAAAAAGGATCAGATTAATATATGTAGGTTACTTGGGAATGTGATTCCCTGGTTTTAATATTTCATTTTCATGGGATGTACTATCGGTTAGCATCTAAAGGAAGTTTTAGTTCTGACTCGGACAGATGATAGATGTCCTTTTATCTTTTCATACATGGTTTTGATTCCTAGACTGCTCCTGAATGGTCCATTTAAAAAAAAGCAAAACAAAACATTTTGAAATATGCATTCTTGGTGCAGGCCAAACAAGATTCCTTATTCTCATTAGTGAACTCTGATCTTTTGTATCTTGATGTACATAAAGCATCTTCTTCATATCATAGAACCACTAAGAACCATTTTCAATGCATTAGCCTTCTTACTAATATAGTTTGCAGACTAGTGATTACCTGTCCTCTCTCTTTTGAACCATAAATAAAGATTGTGACACCTTGCTTGCAAAACAAAAGGGATAGACTCGCTATTTGGATTACCAACCAGCTTATTTGTACATGTGCAACATAGCAAACTTAACTGGGCTGCTACTTTCCAGTACTGCCTGCTGTACTTTTGTAAGAGTCTCAATACCTGTTAGCTATAATGCAAGCTATCTTAGAAGCCTATCAGTCACTTTTCCCCTAGATATATTTTTTTTTCTTTTTCCAAAGCCCTTGTTTTAAATAACTACAGTGTCAAAGAAAGTAAGACACACCCTTCCCCGCCACCCCTTATACTGACGTTTTTAATGGCATTTTGATTTTTCAAAAATACTTACAGCCCAAGTCAGAAGAAAAATTCCTTGCTAAGTAGAACTGTGTTTCCTAGGGGGTTTAATCCTGTTTCAGACAAATTCAGCAATAAACCACTGTCTTTAAACATGGAGGACTAGGCTGATAGAGCACTCACCTTCAGAAGGGAGCTCGGGGGCATCTCTTTTCTCACATCAGATGCTAAGAACACACTGCAGCAGAGCATCGATCTATTCCTATGAGACAGTAACCTCTCATCTTTCATTTCTCTCCTCTTTCACTAAAATATTTGGGCTGCAAGCTACACAGTCCTGCCTGAGTTTCAGGGCTTCATGGTAGATCTGCAAGGATTTGGTGAACAGGTCTCAACTAAGGCCCACATGAAGGCCCAGCACAGGCTGTGGTGTACCATGGAGGTCAGCAACCTTTGCCTCCATGTTATTGCCGTGAGCACTCAGACAGTGGCTTACAAAAGCCCTGATAAAAGCCACCTGGAGACAGCCAGGCTTGGGATCTCATGTCTAGTAGAAGTTCTCCAAGCTCAGAGGGCAAGGTGAGGTGTAAGGAAAGTCAGTGGGGACATCTCCAAGAAAACAGTGAGTTCTTAATTTTAATGATTCATATAAAGCTTGATCCAGCAAGCTGGTTTTGTATCTATGCAGCTTTAAGCGCTTAAGAGACCCACTGAAGCTGGGAGCAGCATAATTCAAATATGCTAGGTCATGGGCTCTTTTATTCTATCAAAATCACAGATTATTTCTGATAGGCAAAAAATGCAGTGGCATTATAAGGCTTCTCTTATAGGCAAAGGGTACCAGCAAAGGTCCAGAGTTTCCCTCTGGTCTCTGTGAGTACAGTCAATCCAGCTGAAACACAACACCACCATTGCTGAGATGGGTGGCTTTCAAAAGTAAGCCAAGCTGGACTCAGAAACTTAATCAAAAGAAAAGAGGGCATAGGGTGGTGACAGTCAAAAGTCTGTATCACATCTCATCTTGAGCAAACCACAGGATGATCACAGCTGAACCAGCCTTTCTGTGAGGGAAGACGGTGCCTGAAGGATGGGGGGCAGTGAGGGGAAAAAAAGGACAAGGCCTTCTCATTTGACTCCCAGCAAGAGGATGCTTTAGCAAAGAAAAAGCCCCAAAACATTATCTGGACAACTAGAAATTGTCCTCCCTGTTGTTCAATTTAAGAAACACTTACACAGTAGTCTGACTTGAAAAACAGAGCTTAAGTATCCAGAGTGGTGTCAGGATAAGAAATCAGGAAGCCATTTCATCTCCAAGTGCCATTTGGACTCTTTCTCACCATGAGCCATATTCTGTAGTTTTACCTGAAGCCTCATTTTCTTTTTCTTCAATACGCTTCCTGAATTTTAACATAGGTAGCAACTGTATGCTTCACTTAGCACTTAGTTGCCTAAAATACTATTTAAAAACTATCAAAATACAGATTTATAGCAGACTTCGAGGCATTTGGTTTTGAAGAATAGCTCTTCCTTTTCTTAAATGTTAATATGAAGATTTCCTGACAAAGCCAAAAGCAGAATTTGAAAGTTTGATTCATTAATATCCAGTTCTATCTATTTACAAGGAAGTTTTGTCTTGTAATTCATAATTTCTGTTATATTCCTTCCATGCATTTGTTCAACTCAACAGTTAAATTAGATAATGTTGAATTCACCTCAACATTTATGCCTGGCAACAGCCTTTGCGGTCACAAGGCGATGAGTTCATTAGAGGAACTGAGCAAAAGTGGAAGGAACGTGGGGCGTGAGAGGGGAAAAAAAAAGCTTTTGTTGAAACACTAATATCTTCTGTGAGCCCGATTTGAGCATTTATAGCTCCAGCACTGTGGTAGAGAGGGGATGTGGGAATAAATACCAGCCAAGCTCTTCCCTCACTATAAATATTATCTTTTTTTTTTTTCTAAATCGGCTCAGGCATGGTCTCTTCTCAATGCCCTCCTCTCTCCTTACAGAAGACTGTGATCGGGGCCACGCCGCTCTGCCACGTCCTGTACAGTCAGCACAGATGCTTGCAGCCATGCAGGAGCACTGCAAATCATCACCCAAATTTCGTGTCACAGCCTTTCAGCATCCCATGTTGCACTGGCAAAGGAGGCCAGTGGCAGCATGATCTGAGGGGACGTGGTGCTGGATATAGCAAACGTTCAACATTCAAACGTTCCCCATTCCTTAGATAACTGCATAGCATTGCTTGTCTGTAGGAGTCTCTATACCAACACTTAGAGGTCACGCATATTTTGCAGTATACTTATTTGGTTATCAAAGGTATTACTGATGTTTCTGATGAAGAATGAATTTTTCTATATGTAATTAACAGTAGGGGGTTGTGCTTTTTTGGATAATGGGATTTTTAGATGCTGAAGGTGAAAGAGAATGGAAAAGGGATGCACATATGATCTTTCATATAAAGTAGTCTAGTGATAATGCCTGGCTCACGCTCCCTTTGCTCGCCCTTTCATGTTTAGAACATGCATCAGATGTGAAAAGGATGACTGACAGTGCAGAAACAATGTCTAATGACCTCATTGGGGCTCATCACTCCCAGTTTTGACTTTTTAATCTGAGTCCCATTTTGTTTGCCCACAGCTCTGTGCTGTTGAAAAGTGGCCGTCTCCAAGTCATCTCCGGAAGATAGAGACAGTGCTTCCCATGTATCATAAACCTCTTTAACTGGTGTCTGCGGGTCTACATGTCCCCCATCGCTTTCCACTACTGACTGCCATCCTGCTCCAGGACTTTCCCTGGGCAGCTACAGTAACTCCTGTGGAGACCACAGGATGACCGCCCTCCCTGGCAGACCTTGGGGATCCCCTGCAACATCAGTGTGCATCCTCGAGCTGCTGCATATGGCATTTGCTGCAGCAGACAGACTGGATGGCACTGAACGGATGGACCAAACTCTGGGCTTGGATAGGACTTCCCCTCCTTACCATGGGGCCCTGCCAGACATTGCTGTGCAGGGGAGCCACTCCAGCCTGTCCCAGAGAATAACTGCAGGACTATGGACGTGGGTGCTACTGAGGGTTAGAAAGTGTGCTGACTCTGAATCCTTACACAGCAAAGATGCTGTCAACATCTTCATGACTTCTATCAAAAAATGGCTTAGCTGGATTTATGTGAACATCACAGACATATTGCTGACAGACTGGACATATTGCCACTTAAGGAGAGAAGAACTGGAATGAGTTAAGAACTGTTATGTTGTTTCCTTGCAGTCACAGGAGACTATGACTGAACCTTTCTAAAACCTCATGTTGAGGGGGGAAGTTAACACAGAGTTTCTCTGCAAATACCAAACACCATTCCGAAACTTGGGATCCTTTGTTATTTTGCGATCCTTTCACCCTATTGGTCACTGTAATTCATTCAGCTCCTTGAGGCCTTTCTTTCAGCAGTGGTCCTACTAGTGGGGAAAGCAGCTCATGGACTCACTTGCTTCTGACAGAGAAGTGCTGGCTACCCCTGCTCTGCAGGACCCCGCAGCTCTGATGACCTGACTGTGGGACAGCTTCACCTATGGGTGAGTTCTGGGCTTGCGCTAACCCCACCGCAGCCTCCTACATCCTTGTGTGTGCACAAAGAACACATGGGTGTATGGACCAACCAAGAGCTGTGCCATTCCCCAAGCAGCTGCCAAGCTGGATGGTGAGTCAAACAGGACTCCAGGTAGCAGATCATTAGGTAAATCAAAATACAGCCTTTGCTGTCAAGTGGATAACGCTGGGACTCAGAAACTGCCTTAAACTTCGTATAGGCATGTCAGTGTGATTCCCCTGTGTTTGAGATTACCTGTCTTTAAAAGGCAAAATGGTACTCAGTCAATGGCCTTAGAGATATAGGTGAAAATAAGTCCTAGGTTTGGTCATTATTTTGGTGGCTCTGGCTCTGTACATCAACAGGTCTACCCAAGTTAAGAAAAGGCTCTGTTTAGTACATGTCATTTTAATCTTTGATCAGTTTTTAGCATTTGAATAATGGCTTTTGTGACAGATGCGTGTCACATTTACAGGCTTTTAGAGGGGAATAACGAGTCTCATGACCTTTCACTTCTCAAGAGTCACTCAGCTACGGAACTCTGATGCCGCACGCTGCAAATAATCATTTCAGCTGGTTAGGGCTGGGTAATCCCAGTGTGACATTTCATATCCAGTTCACTTTTCAATGATTTATTTGTAATTTCTGCTAAACCACAGTTAAAGTTACCCAGCGCTCAGCTGCTAGATCAGTAATAGATAACCCTTGCCAAGAACACAGTTTGTTTTGAAGGCAAATATAACTAAGAGGCTGAGAATAAATTGATAGGTTAAGAGGTTTTATGTGGGAACTGATGCCCATCCTCTGTCGGAATGCCAACTTCCAGAATGCAGTGCTGTCATCCGGATGACCTTCCTCTCTTTTCCCCTGCTGCCCTTGGCCTGAAGGAAAAGAACCTCTCTGTAGTCAGAGCTGAGCCTGAAAAAGAAGAAACTCACAAAAATTTCCTTTCAGAAAAAAAGAAAGGCTTCTTAAAAACAAGTCCTCGTGCTTTTGCCTTTGCCACAGCCCACACTTCGGTACCGGCGCCATCCAGGACCCCAGGATATTTTACACTTTAGCTCTCAGATCCAATCCAGCCTGGTTAGTCCTGTCCTCACTGCAATCGTACGCTGGAAGCGTCGGCCTCACCTTGGGTTGCTTCTTGGGAGCCTTCCCCAACAGCAGCATCCCAGTCCCCTCTCTGTTGTGGCATGTTCATCCCTAGGAGTTGCACTCCTCACAGTGGCAGGAGAGGATGTAGCGGTAGGTGGCAGTGAGCCGCATGCCCCCCGAGCATCGCAACCGCATGGCCTTCAGCTTGGAGGTCTGGGGCCGGCAGCAGTGGCAGGTGGAGCGGAAAGGCTGCTTCAGGACGGTGCTGAAAGAAACCATCGGCTCCGAGCGCGACGTCTGGCTGCAGCGCCCTTCGCAGCGAGCCAGCAGCACCATCTGCAAAGGAAAAGAGACGGGTTAGGAAACGTGCCCCTCATGGCTGCCAGCACGCAGCTAACACCAGCAGATGGGTACCTCCTTCCAGCCTGGCTGGTCTTTCTTCACTTTCTGCATCTGCTCACCTTGGCGAGGCCACTCAGCCCCACACAGTGCATTGGTCTCTCTCCTCGCAGAGGAGGTAACTTGCAGAAGAAAAAGCAAGGCTCCTCCTGGAGTCTCAGGCATCAACACTGATAAGGACTCTTTTTCTAAAAGCTGGCCTCAGGGCTCCAAGCAAACACAGCCAGCCCTGCTTTCCAGGCACAGTGACTGCAACTGTGACTTGCTGACCCCAGATTTGTGGCAGCCAAGCCCTTAACTTGTCAGCCGGACTGATACTTCAGTTGGGTATTGTCCAATGTTTTGAGTGTATATACTAGTGATCAGCAGAACTTGTCCTGGGGGCCAGTGAATGTCTCAAAAGTTTAGATATATAAAGTAGAAATAAAAGAAGATGCTCAGTTTATTGCTTCTAGAGAAGTAAGTTTCTAGCTCCCTCTTTTTACAAAGATTGCCTTGAATATGTATTTGCAATTATATGTGTGTATATATATATATAGTTGCATCAGTTGTATCTGTATTAAATGTACTGCATAGCGTAAGGCAGTGAAAACATAATCAAGATGAAATCTGCCAAACATGGCGATTCACTAGCGAGACTTTCCAAAAGCAGTACAGACTCCATGGTTCTTCTCCTCCTGAGTTCACTGCCTAAGCTGTGAACAGAAGGTAACTTGCACAATGTGAGGCACTAAGGAAGGAAAGCCTGTGGGTGGTCACCCACTCCCCTTCCCAACAACCTCTTGTTGAGCAGAGGAGATGGATTGAGTCTCCTAAGCTCTACAGAAAACATGGAAAGGATCTTCTAAAGCTCAGGAAATTATGTGGTTAGAAACAGGTGTTACCACCTTGATAAGTGGTAAGTGCTGGACAAATTTGAACAAACTCATACCTTTGTGGGGAATGAAATATTAAGTCCATATCAGCTAACTCTGCTTAATCAACACAAATTTCAAAATCAACTTATTGTACCTTCCAAACGAGGTCAAAATGTGACAGAGGTGAGCAAATAGGCAGTAAACCAGTCATATCTATAACCAAGGAAGAAAATTATATTTTAACCCTGTTGCACATATTTCATGTTTTTTTTTCTAGACAATCTAGAAAGATAACTACAGATGTGACAGCAAATATTTTATAACGTTAAACCTTTTTGAGCTTCTTTCACCAGCTCAACTGGCTGCTAATCTCCAAGTCTTGCAAGCAGGTTTGTCAAATCTTTAATTTTATCTTTAGTCAGAGTCAGGAGGAAAGATGAGAGAGAAAGAGAGAATATTCCTGGTATCAAGTAGGAAATACCAGCATTGTCTGTGTCCATGGCAAAGGCACTGATCATACATTGTATAGTGCTTGAAAATTACTCTTCCAAAACTACGTGCATGATAAATGGTTTTCTTGGAAATGTATTAATATATTAACAACTACACTTCCAGTCAACACAGACAGATCACAAGGAAGATGTCTTCATGAGCTGATGATCTGGGATTGGTATCATCTTGTTTCCTGGTTTAATTAAGAGATGGGTTCTTGTTGCTCTCCAAAAAATTTGCCATTGTTCATGATTTGTAGCATAAATTTATGGTCCCCTTCCCATGATGCTGCATATTCATAAGTAAATTCACTTCAGCTGTTAGTAGTAATATGGTGGGAAGGAAATTTCAGTGTACTGTTGAGCCATACCCCAGCTTTAGATGTATCAGCTACATCAAGCTCCTTAATACCAGTGTCTTTAGGGTATACAAGAACAGGGACAATCATTACAGTGCTAGCACCCTATTTCTGACAGATAAAGATCCACTTTTCTCCCATTGGTAAACAAAACTCACTTCCCACAGTGACAGGCAGGCAGCTGGTGAAGGAGGTATCTAATCCTGCCTGTATTGAGAAGGAAAGACAGCAGATTGGGTTATTTAAAACAGATAGCTCCCTTCCCAGCATCCTCACAGCTCTTGTTAGGTCCCCACTTTGACCAGTTCACCAAACTGTGTACACTCTCTGTCACAGGCTATTGCCAATTGTTTGGCTGAAGAGGGGGGTGAAGAGGAATCCAAGGGCAGCTGGCAACTGCTTGAAGGTTGCAAAGACAATGGAACCAAACTCCCCTCAGGAGTGGCAAAGGGGGACATAAAATGGCCACAAATTTATTTTTGGGAGGTTCAGAGGACCTCTAGAGTCCCTTCCAACCAGCATTTCTATGATTATGTGATTTTAGCCCAAATATGACAGCACACATTGCTGTATGGTGGAGGTGACTTCTAATGGTTGATGCTTCTGGGGCTGGAACAGTTGGTCACTTCTGGTCCTATTAACCTAAGGACATTTTGTGGCACACATCTGCTCTTGTATCTGCAGGTACTTTCAGAAATGCCAGGGAAAAAACCAAACCCCCAAGGAACAGGATTAAGGACTACAGAAGAGCTGCAGCAGTGTAATTATAGACTAGAATTATCTGATTTGCCAATATCTGTGTCTCAATACATTTCTTATGAACAGCAAGTTTTCTAATGCAAAACCAGTCAATATTTCTTCAATATGCAACATCATTTATAACTGTTAGCAAGCCTTGCCTTTAAAAACTTATTTTAGTCTGTGGAGACTCTAATTTTAATCTCAAATTTTGATGGCTACTTAGTTTTTCATTAGAGTATGGACAGTATTCATATAATGTAAAATTACAGTGTTGGTTTTATGACCTGTTTTTGGATGACAGTGTAGGCTTGTACAAATAGCACAGTACCATGTGTATCAAGTCAAATTTGCAGGATGAAACATTTTCAGATTTCCCATTTTGATAGCTTCCTAAATTTCTGAGCTAACCTGAAGTCCTCAGCAAAGTTTAACCTCCTCCTCCTCATAAATCCAGAACAGCACCAGTGGGTTTTGGCAGGTGTGCAAATGAGCTGGAAATAGCATGTACTTTAAAAGCTTTGCTTTGCCATTTAATCAATCGTGCCAGCTGCTTATTGCATCGTATACTATAGCACAATAGAGATTATCACCTAAATAATTAGTAATGCTATGATGGCATAGCACAGTAATACAGTGGGTGTATATATAGTAAAAACGTGTGGGTATTTTATAATCTGATAGGCATGCCTCTTGGCTCCCCTCATGCCACACACATGTGAGCTTGTGGATGTCATCCTGTGATGCTGGATCCAGAAGCACAGCATGCTACAACATGGGACCACGGGGGTCTCGCATGTATGAGCAGCTGGGGAAGAATAGGTTTTCTTACTTAAAGTCAGCAGTCTCATAGGTATCTGGAAGACCATAAAAGAGGGCAACCTGAATCTGAGACAACATTTTACTCTGATAATTCGAGCCCTATTCTGGAAATTCAGAAGTTGTGAACTGGTTTGTTATTAATGGTGCTTGTAGTCCTCTTTTCTGCACCCTTCAGCAACAAGCTCTGGCCTGAAAGCAGGTGGGATGAGATGTATGAGAACAAACTTCCACACAGTACCCACGGCCTGGCTGCAAGCATGCATTACTGAAAGTCTCCTGAGCTACCTCATAAGTAAATGTCTTCAATCTTTCTTCATCTGGTCCGTGTCTTTCTGGGCTGGATTCTTTAGTGCAAGGCTGTCAGTGGCAGCGCACTTCTGGCACATCTGGAGGAAGCACTTGTGACAGCCAGTACTGTAATTTAGGAGGCTCTGGTTGCAGCGGCGAGGCAACCCAGCATGTCGATGAAGACCAGTGGGTCCCTGTGACAGAGGTCAGGCAGAATCTAACATGGTCAGGAAAGCTAATACCTCATGAGCTGATATAAAGATTTCCTTGAAGTCACTGAAAACACTGTCTTTCAGGAACCGTTTTCTATCCCTCTTGTGTGGCTCTTTTATACAGTCTGTTACTATAATGGACTATGTTTCCAAAGGCTTTGGAAACCTGTTTTCCACATCTGTCTGAGGTCACAAGCAAGAGGGATTTTAATGAGTCAATTACATTGGGTGGATGTTTCCAAATGTAACAAAACGACTTCCCATGTGGGTACAATTGGCAGCCTCCACAGAGAAGCAAGGTGGACATAATCCTTTTTTAACTCAGACAGACAGCAAATATAATATGTCTTGCAGTTTCTGAAGCCATTTTTATCTTCTCTAATTCTATGCTGCACTAAAAGGGAAAACATACAGAGTGAAAAAGGATGGCTCAGTGAAACCAATATATCATGCCAAAAAAGGACAAGGTCTCTGCTTGACATCAATTGTCAGTCCAAGCTTCACAATGGAAATTTGGTGGAAACAGGAGGTATCACAATTACCACACTACTCCTGCAGAACCTTCCTTTTTTGACTTGTTTATAGTTTATTACAATATATATAGGAACAGACACTGTGTCTAATTTTCATTAGCAAGTCTAATATTGGGCTATGTTTATATGCTAGATCCAGAACAGAAGCCATATGTCTACCAGGATGATTCAGATCCCTGAGACCTTAAAAAAAAAGAGCTTGGTTTAATGAACAGAGTGAAGTTTTCTAGGAAATGTCAAAATTATTTTGCTTTGTATGAAAACTGTTTTCATTTTCCACTTCATGAGAAAGTACATACAACTTGCAGCATTGCTAAAAAACCGTTCTTGAAACCATTGTGGAATTTGAGAAGCCAAGAGATGTGATATTTTCAAACATAATTTCCATTAAAGTCTTGTTTTTAAAAAAAGTCACTGACATTTTTGCTGTCGGAGTTACAAATGTTTATGTCAACAGCTTTTTTCTCAAAGCTCAGTTTTGAAATAATATGGTTTTCATTACAATGCATTCTGTGTTCTAATTTCCATCAGTCCCACTCCTAAAGGCATGATTGCTCTTCTCTGTCATTAGGGATGCTAAGAAATTGAGTTGTTGGTGCGTTTCCTTCCTTCCTTCCTCTTTCCTCCCTTCCTCCCTCCCTGCCTGCTTGCCTGCCTTCCTTCCTTACTTCCTTCCTGGTTGCCTGCCTTCCTTCCTTCCTGCCTTCCTTCCTTCCTTCCTTCCTTCCTTCCTGCCTGCCTTCCTGCCTGCCTTCCCGCCTGCCTTCCTGCCTTCCTGCCTTCCCGCCTTCCCTGCCTTCCCTTCCTCTTGTTCTTTCTTCAGAAAAATAACCCTCCAGCTGATGCCTATGGCAGCCAGAGTTTTAAGAAAAACCCAGAGGATGGTGATGGCAGAGCGAAGAAGGCAGCCACACAGTGAAAGGGCTTCACTGAGGTGTGCAGCAGCATGCCAGACCCAGTGGCACATCCTGGCCATCGGGCAATAGAGTCCTGGACAGGCGCAATCACAGCTCCTGGTCACGTGGACCAGGGAGCACACCCCACCTAATACAATTATACTAAAATCCTCCACCAGGAGAGCCAGTTGTAGAGGAAAAGCCCTTGGGCTGTGTAGGAAGCAATGCCCTGAGCATGGAAGAAAATCACAGCCAGAGAAGCACCATCCTTCATGCTCCAGGCTGGGCTTGCCTCAGGGGCTGAGCTGGGACCTATTGTGTTTATCCTTTTATGTCTGAGGCAGTGTGCCCAGGTCAGTTATACTCTGCATTTTACACTACCCTAGTGAAGTCGCCACTTGTTACTCTTTTGCTCTTCTGCATGTAGAGGGCCAGAGGGGGATCCTACCCAAAGCTGGAGACCAAAGGGCCTCTGGGGGCCACCTACCATCTTGCCTGCATTACATATCACAGCTCTTCCTGCTCCCAGGCAGAGCAGGTAGCCAAGAGCAAGGGCCAGCTGGGTGGAGCATTGCCCTCCTGGACCAAACCATCATGGTAGCTAAGGCTTCTCAGGTCTCATAGGTGATCTGAAGTGCCTTGAGAGGGGAGGGCTGCTAACACCCACATAAACAGTATGTAAAATCCACCCACATACCTACACTTTTCATCTTTGCCTCTCACTGGGGTCAACTGCAATAAAATCAGGACTGCACAAACAGATGCATCTCTGCTATTCTGTGTGTTAATGCTGGATATATCCCAGATGGTAAGAAGGTCTGGTCTAGGCTAAAAACAAACCAAAAGATCTCTTCTGAATTACAAGTAATGCATGATTTTACTGTTTGAACTCAGAAGCAGTAGGGCAAAAGTCCCTGATCTCCCACTGCTGTGGATCAGGCTTGGTTACGCAAAGCTGGGCAGACAGCACTGCTGTGAACCTGGTGTGAGACAGCCCAGTGTGGGTCTTTCGTCTGTGCCCAATTTTGAGGCCGTCAGCCCCTCTCTAGCGAGAAGGCACAGCGCAAGTCCCGGTGCTGAAGGTGCACAGGCAGGGCAGCAGCCGTCCTGGTGTACATCTGGAGCGCGGAGCACCGAGCGGGTCTGTTGACACTTCTCTCTGTGATTTATTTTAAACTTTATGGCCTGCTGTTACCTGTGGTATTACCTCACCCCTGCGCTGATCATGGGAAGCAAATAACTCATTCTGCACACAAAGGCGTCTGGGGGTCTCCACAGCCAGTGCTGCATCCCTCTGAACTCTGTGGATCCTCTCTCCTTGGAAATGCTCCCAGGATCGCCGCTGCCAGGGTTTGCCATCAGGCAAGACCGCAGGCAGCCCTCTTGTCCTAAATCCCATCACATACCTGCTTCCCATTGCCCTCTTACCCAATGCAGGGCTGGCAAAAACATTGGTGCTGGCAGAAACATCGGTGCTGGCAGTTTTTCGCTTTCATTGAGCCAGGGCTGTGGGTGCATAAGGCAAAGCCACTTTCCACAGGACAGAGGGATGGTCCAGACGGAGACTGTACCTCTGAATACATGGATTAATTTGGCCGGAACAAATTAGGACAAGATAAAAGGGACAAGCAAGAATTTTCCCATTGTTTCTCCCCATTCTTTTTCTCTATGAAATGAAATAAATGTCTGTAGGCTACATACACAGGCTGCTAAACCATTTTGAAACAAAATTTTTCAGGCTTGAAATCTCAAATGAAAGGCAATCTTGTATTTCCTTCTGCTCCTAAGCCCTACAGTAAACATTCAATTGTCATTCTGCATGAAAACAAAGGCCTTGAAACTAAATAGGGGGGAAAAATAGCAATGTTTTTCACATTCTTTTTGCATTACCATTTTACTACTTGATTCTTTATCTCAGTACTTCGTCTTGAAAGTTATAAGATTACGTAGTCTAGATTAAAGACTCACTTGAAGGAGGGGGTGACTGAGATGATCTAAACTTCCAAACTAGCCCATTTTCTTGGCATCAACGGCTGAGACCCCAGGGTGCTCCTTTGAATCTTATCATTTACTGCATGTTAGCTTTACCATCATGGTGTGTTTCTCATTTTAAAAAGGTGAAAAGAGAATCAACTTTCTCTCCAGTCCAAGTTCTGATGTACATACTCAGATGTCTCTACATCTCTACATCTCCACAGCTAGATTTTGGTAGTAAGGAATTTGTGAAGAGAAAAATCACCCAAAATGGCTTGTTTTAACAACTCCACTGATGCAGCGCCCTGCTGCAAGAGGGTGAGGGAAGTCCTTACCTTCGAGCTACATTTGTAGAGGGGATGGCTGATGGAGTCGACATAGTGATGCCTCATACAGCGGCTGGGGTCGGAGTCAATCATGAAGGAACTGTCTGTTTTACTGTCCGCATCTCCCATCATTGCCAGGAGCGAGAGCATGGAAATCGAAGCTGCAAGTACATGATTTCCCATTGTAGAGAAACTTCTCGCTGATAACAGCAGAGGGAGGTAGAGTATTAAAAAAACTCCAAACACTGGCAGCCAGTTCCTTTCCAGGATGGTGAAAAGTCTGGTTTAAGTCTCTTAGCTGTCATTCTTCTTCTCGAGTTAGAGTTTGCTGAGATTGTAATCCATCAAAGAATCTCCTGCATAGCTGGAATAAAAACAACATAAATCACAATCCTGACCAAAAAGACCTCTGGAGAAAAACAGACATAAATAATATTAAGGCACACAGGATTTTTGCTAGCCGAAACATACGCTCTGAGTGAACATCATTCCCAGAGTATATGGGAAGTATATTATAGTATATTATTATTATTAATAATATATTAGGTATGAGTATAATATATTAGGTGTGAGTATATTAGGAAGGAGATGTCAAGGCCTTGTTACTTTAAGCATTGCTCTGTCAGTTTACTGGGGAGAAACTTCCAACTTTTGATATCACAGGTGGTGCAATGCCAATCTTTTTCACTTGATGATGCCGCTAACGGGTTCCCCTCAAAACTGGTGATTAGTAACACGTCAGAGATTTCTGAAAATTGAAAGGACTTTGTATCCAATCAGCATGTCAAAGAAAGACTAAGCTACGCTGACTCCTGAATTTCTGGGCTGAGTAGCACAATGGAAAGGCTGGAGGCAGGTTGATCCCTGGCTCTAGGGGCTGCGTGTCGGTCTCCTGAAACTGCTGTGCTGCAGGGACAAGGGGTACCCCCAGGATGGAGTGATGCTGAGAGTCCAAGCCCAGACATGAGCAAAGTGGTCCCCCAGGAACCTCACTGAGCACCGACCTGCATTGCATGTAGGACTACCTAGGTCTCTGGCTGCCCTGCCCTCCTGAGTACCAAACTCACACACACAGAGAGGTGGGCATGCTTTAATTGCTTACTGCACTTTCTCAGTGTCAATATCTTCCTTGTTAATTAAAAAGCAGCAGCTGAAAAATACATTCTAGACAATTATATCCGAGTACATCCCAGATATCAATTGGGAAAAAAATACATGCAGGTGGAGTCACATGGATATCCAACCAGACATCTGGATTTTTGGCACATGTTGGACACCAGGAGGTCCCCCAGAAAACAGGCACAGGACAGCCCCTGAAATGCTGCCTGGAGCTCTGTGCCAGCAGGGAATGGGGGCCATCTCCCTCAGCTGCATCATCACAGGCCCTTGATCCTTCTCACAAAGCCTGTAGTTTCAAAGGGGTGCTTTAATTTCGCTTTTACTACAAACAGCTATAGCTTGAAAGAGCTGTGAATTATCCATCTAAGTACAACCTGATGAAGCAAAGGACAGTCATAAGTAAAGTTAAAAGAGCAAGGACTTTCTGAAGAAACTTATGATAAAACAGTTCCCTGGTCACACAGAAATGCTCCCCCAGAGCTGCTTGCCTATTTGAAGAGCTGATGTGTGCCTCTATTGCTTTATACAAGCCTCTTTCAAAACTGTTTTCTGGTTTGCTGGTGATACTCTAAACCGACTGACACTCATCTCCCAAACAGCCTAAAATTACGAGGCCTCCCCGCCAGAGTGCTTGATGACTTGTGTATTGCTTTATAGCTTGCTCAAACACTCTTGTGAGAGGAGTGCATAGCAGCGAGAAACACTTCCAGAGTTCATCCAAGCTGGGAGTTGAGACTTGTCAGGCTGAAGTGACATACAAAGTCTCATGCTGGGAAGAAATGTAATTAGGGATGCTCTGTATATTAGACTTCTTTTTAAGCCTTTTTTGGATTTCAAACTATTGTCCATGTGCCTAAGTAGGAAAGGAAAAATTATGTGACTGTGGATTTAATAGACAATACATTTTTTTCCTGGAGTCTGACCTATGACCTGGTATATTTTCCACAACCAAATGTTTTTCAATGGTTGTGGCATTAAAAAAAACCCTATGTGTTTGCAGTATAAGGAGCTTAAACAACACTAAACACTAGGATCTTGGATACGTTTATGCACGGTCTCATTCACGTTAATAAATATCCCTCTAAACATTTTACCAGGGTAAGAGAGAAATCTCTCGGTCATGGGAGCTGGGACAGACTCCTTCCCAGAATTGAACTGTACTACTCTGGTTCATGCAGATGATGCCCAAGGATTAGCTAACAGGAGGAGTGATGCACTTTTAAAAAAATATTTAACCTTTTACCTACATTCCTATTCTTCTTTACAAAGAGGCTGACCAAAACACACTGCTTGGCAAGGTCTCTCTCCAACATAGTTAATCAGTATTACACACCCAGTAATTCCCTCTCTGTCCAAATAAATTTACTTGATATTGGACGTTCTCATCTCGTGTAATATTTTGTCCAGGGATCCCCATTTCCCACTCTCTCTGTCCCACTGTTAATTTTATGCTTCTATATCTTTCTATGTTTTTGATCAGTATGATTTAATACAGTGAGAGAAATCTGGAGTCCTGGCTCGGTTTTCAAAGGCTTATCTCTCTAGTTTTCTTCAGGAAATAATTGGATGACATAGAGTCTGCCTCATGAAAATGCTCTGAGAAAGCTGGAAAGAAGCAGGGAAAAATGTGAGAAAAGGAAGATGTCTGTACCTTCTTCAGGATAAGCACAGCACAATACAAAATGTATTAACACTTTCACAAGCTTTTAAAATTGCCCTCACACTTCCCTGGCAAAGAAATGTAGCAGGCTTTGGTAACAAAACTTTACAAGAAGTATGCTGTTATCACATATTTATTAGTAAAAAGAGAGACGATGGATATAAATGTGACCCACTTTTTGTGAAAAAACTGTGTACAGTTGTTGACAGATGTACTGGCAAAGCTAGTGTGTAGGTATTGGAAGCATGACTGCAGACAACAACGGGCTATTTGCACATGCCAGTATCCCCTGACATACTTATGCAAAATACACACACGTATCTTTCAAGTACATATCCCATATATAAGTGAGATATATGGAAAAAAACTCTCACAGGGACATGTAAATATATAGAAGTTAGTGTGAAGATTATTGATTGTGTAAAAGAAGGCTAAATATTTTCACTCAGGTACATCACTGTGAAGAAGTAGGTTGACATGACATTTTCCATTTCCAGCTGATACGGTGCAATGACATTTCAATTTAAACTAGCATTTTTTTTTTTTTTTTTAAAAAAAAAAAGATTGTATTCCTTTTGAAATGCTGTCTGAAATTATATAAAATGCTAGACAGTACATGATATCAGGACTGAAATATGTAGCTTCCAGTCTATCATTCTGTCCACAACTGGAAGCAAGTACACCTGTAATCATTAATCATTATAGCTGCACTTACAATGACATTTTGTTTCATTTGGAAGATACACTTTTTTTCTCAAAAACGACAATTTCACTTAGAATTTTTTCTTTTATTTAAGCTGTTTGTGCCTCAGTTTCTTTTAGTGTGAAAAACTGGTAAACAGCTCATCTGCCAAACTAACAAAAAGGAAGTTAAATGCTTCCTCTTTACAGCATCCTGTAGAGAAAAAGATGCAAAGATGACTTCATCTTCTTAGGCTGAAAATTGGCTACAAAAATATTTGGCCTAACAGTGGATGAAAATCACTACTTCCTATTTTTTTCAGAATTCACTGATATGGGCATTACATGTTGTTAGTAATAGGCTTATAGTGCCCTTTCGGTATAACTAGTTTTCAGGAATTCATAGAGACATAACATGCTAAAAGCTGTTACAGCTGTTACCTAGAACGGCTCAGCTGTTACTGAAAAACTGCAGGGAAAAATAGAAGACATCCCAAAAAAGACCATATGAACATACTATCAAAGACTGGATTGCACATGGACATAGGGGTAGAGTTAGGGTTATTTTTCCAACTTTATGTTGCTATTAACTGCTTTCAGAATGATGAAATAAAGATTTCTTATCATAGTCTTAATATCATTTAGAGAGTGGTGAAGGTTAAGATTTTGTTTTCCTTTAAGGACAGAACAGAATTCCATCATCTGGAATTATTTAGCCAGTCACTTTGTGAGAACGTAAACAGAAATTCCCTTTTTGCTATGTATCTTGGAAAAAATAAAGAACTGAGCAATTCTCCAAAGGTCTATTGGATCTGCACCGCTTTTGCCCTGGAAGGTAGAAAGGGAGCAATGGAAAAGCTCATTTACGGTGTACTTCTACTTAGCTGTTCCCTGCTCCTGAGCCCCCTGAATTAGGCATGAACATATGTTCAGCTTGGCCTTCGTTTGCTGTGTATTTTCCATGATTGAGACTCCTGCTTGATGATGAGGGTACAATTCAAGTCACTCAATGCCTTTTATGTATTGGAGGCTGCCAAAATCCCGTTGGAGCAGCAGTGTGTATATATAACTAAGCCTGGCCTTGCATGCTGTGCATATTTAGTAAACACAATTACTTGGATCCTACCATGTGGTTCCCTCATTCTGAATTTGTTATGTAAACAGAAGAGTTACAAGACTACTCAGTTTCTCCAAACTCCAGCCCTAAAAAAGTGTCACTAACCATATATGTGTATATATATGTGTGTGTGTGCAGTTTGCTGCTGCTGTTCCGACAAAAAAAGCCACAAAGTTCTCTATGAGACCAAAATGGATCTCTCAAAAACTTTGTCTAACCTGGAGAAGTTTAAGCCAGAAAGATGAGAATTTGGGGGTTTTGTGTTCCAAGATCTGGACTGGAGTGGAAATGACTCTGTTGGGCAAACTATACCGTCAAGTTACACCAGGGTTTGTTCTGCAGGGTTAAACTCCCCGCTGCCATGAGGAGGGCCATGGAAGAGGCTGGGGATGGGAAGGTAAGGAGGAACAACCTATACTGGAGACGACCTCCAGTCCCCCAGCCCCAGGCATGGGGTAGCGCTGCAGTGTCCCCGCTGCTGCTGCCTGGCCGTGGCGCTGGCATGGCTCATGGCGACCTGTTACCAGGATTTCTGAATAATGGATCTGTGCTTTCAGAGGCCTTGGGGAACCATTGTTTCTGCTCCTGCAACAAGTTGGCAAGGCCTTAGGTGGGCAGTTGGCTGTGTACAGAGCTGTCCCACGCTCAACCACAGCTCATAGATGACAGCAGCAGCTGGACTGCTCTTTTGCCAGGGCTACCTTTGTGAATGAGTACCCCTTTCCCAAAGCCATATGTTGTTCTGTATGTCCACAGCTCAAGTCTTGCTCCAAGGTCACATCTCTGC